GGTTACGGGACGAACGTTAAACTTAAGTTACGAACTACTCCAAAAACAAAAACTACGGTACGACGTACGTACGACGACAACACGGGACGGGCGGAACGGAGACCCCACCCCCCCCCCCCCCGCCCTTCAAGCAATAGATTTTTTTGATAAAAGAGGGGGCGGCAGGTGGCAGCGTTGGGACCCCCCAAACTTGAACATCTTCCGTGGCAGGGGACAGCCCCTAAGGGGTCAATCTGGAAAGTCGGGGGTCTGGCTACCACTAGAAATATGTTTTGACACCACCCCTTGGGGGCTCTTCGACTTTGGGTCGTTTCTCCAAGCGCGACCAACGCTTCACAGCGGAGAGGTCGTCGAGCAGGTCCTCGTTGCTGGCTGCAACACTAGCCCCCATCACGCGACCGTCTCTTGGTGCCGGCCCGACAGCCCCCCTTTCCCCCGCGGTCTCTCTTGATGACGTCAGCAACTCCTTCGATTGTCCCACTCCGGGTGGCTGCTCCCCTTCCCCGGCCCTGATTCCCTCGCTCTCCCCCGTTTCAGAACAGGCTTCGTTGCTCCCCGTTTCCTCCTCAGGAGCTCTTGACCCTACCATGCGCTCAGGCGCTAAGCCAAGCGCCGCTTCCTGTGGCTCCCCGATCTCGGTGAGTTCGTCGGCAGCCCCCTCCGCAAGGTCGGCCTCTGCTAAAACCCCAGCTATGACGGCTGACAGCCCTGACGTGGGCATCAAAGGCTCACCCGCGACAGCCTCTTCCTCCTCCCAGCCTGCCTTCCGTTGTGCCGCTTCAATTGCGTCCAACTTCGCGTCCAGAGCTCATGTGGGTTGAATGGGTAGATCTCTGCGAATGGCAACAAGCATCTGATTGGAAGACCATAAACCTACTGATCAAAAAAGAAATGCTCACAGCAATGCACTTAGCAGCCCAGTGATATGTGGCAGCACACTATTCAAGAAACTTTTTGAGAACCCCTTGCAAGATACATCTGGAGTCGTTGTAAGCGCTGACGACGCCCAGTCAGAGGAACAAATTTACTATGCAGCATTGACCACAGTAACCTGAGAACCTGAAACAGATCTGCCAGCAGCCACTCTGCTTAAAGAGCATGTGGAAACAAGTGTGCAACTCAATCTTGTAGCAGGTTCACTGAAGCAATGCCAGAATGTACAATGTGTTTCCGAGGCAGGCAACCCATCACCTTATCTTTTGAGTCCTTCCTGTTTCTTTCCTGTTCCCCAAACCAACAAAGAAAATGGCGCCTCTGCATTTACTAGCTGACATTATGCTTTTACATTGTCAATTTCTGAATGTGCCAGACCTTAAGCAAAGCTTGCAAAGCAGCCAGATATATTAACATGCAAAAGATTTCACTAGCAGCTCACCTGTAGCGCGGAAGGCAGCCTTGATGTTGTCTACAGTAAACGCCGCCTTCTTGGCTACCTCCAGCACTCGGACAGCATCCGCCTTTGTGAGCCTTCGATCGGGCGCTACAGCGAGCAGGCGGTTGAGTTCCTTTTTGGCTGCGTTTTTGAAGGGACAGAAATTGAACCCCAACGTCAAGGGGCTGCAGCCAGTGCGAAAGATGGCCTGGGAAGAGCAGGACATCTAGCCCTTTCGATCGGGCGAGCTCTACATCGCAAAATTTCCACTGAACATACCAGGTGCCGCAGACCTACCGGCCGGCACCTCCAGTGCCGCACTAGTGCCGTTTTACTGCCGCACACCTGCCGCACCGTGCCATACATCGAACCTACTGCCGCAACAGGTGCCGCATGATGCCGGCATTGCATATAGCTGCCGGACGGTATCAAGTTTGTGCCGTAGCTGGTGCCGGCATGCTGTTGTGCGGCAGCTGGTAGCCATGCCGGCATCGCCGACTGCCGTGACGGCTGAGAAAGTGCCGCATTTAGTGCCGGCACCGTCTCAATGGTGCCGGACACATGCCGCCCACCGTGCCGCCTACGTACCACTCATTGCCGGATTGCATATTGAATGCGTACATAACATTTGATGATGATGTCCAGCCTTATCCCAACATCTAAGCGGTAACTTCATGCTAAAATTCGTTCACATACCTCAGTTTCACACATCAAAGTCCAAAAGGGTCCGAGGGCTCTAGATTACGCGAGCTAGTCTCTTGCTCGCGAAAGCACGTGGGAGAAGAAAAAAGGCTAGCTCGGGAAAGGTGTGGAGCCAAAAAAAATCCGAAGAAGCACTAGCGCGCACTTTACGATAGATAGGCCAGTGGTGCTTCGCATCGTAAATTGTGCGCCAGCCGCAGAGACTGGGAAAAGTTGCTGCCGGACAGGAGATTTGAACCTGGACCTCGTGTCAACATTGGCTTTGAGAGCGGGCGCGCTACCGCTAGGTTACACCACTGATTAAACCGACGGTTGTTATTAAATATATAAACAATATTGAAAAAATGTACCGGCCAGGCCGCTTTCATTTCCGGATGTAGTTCAAGCGACCAAATTGGCTGTGTCCGCGTATTGTGTCGCCAACCGGTCGTTTTTTTGTGCCGTACCGCAGCCGGTCGGTCTTTGGCGCACCTACGGAGTGTGGTACCCTACCAACTTAGCCTAGGGTATGTACCGTACGGAGTTTTTGCGACCGCCGTCGATGATCGAATCGACGGTCGGAATTCAAAAGTCGCTGGCCTACCTAGGTAGTTCGAATTCAAAATTCCGAGACCCACGAAGTGTATCTACCCTACAGTCTAGACTCAGCCTAGGTAGGAGCCTAGCCTTAGAGTCGACACATTGTAGATGTAATACATCGCTAGCTGGGTAAGCCATCGGGCGCCGCCTTGTAGGGCGCCATGGCGCAGGTCGTTTCAACTTACCTTCAAATATATGCGCAATGCCACCCTGCAACGGCGTTACCCAATTGCGTCAATAGACCTTGAATGGAGCAATGGCGAAGAACATGCTGCAAGTGAGGTAAGAGGCGGCGGCGGAATCCTGTATGGGGCGCAACATTTGAAGACAACTCACTGAATGTAGATCGCACTAGCGGCAATGTGCAAGTTGGCAAGTTCAACAACTTTTGATCAATCTCCAGCGGGACTCTAACGACATAAAGTATGACACAAAAAGATCGTGCGAGTCTTTTAGAAACTGGTCTTGCAGTCTTGGTTGCCACAGTAGCATAGCAATCCGACAGGATATTGTGACCATTTGTGATTGTTGCAAGTCTCTCAATTGAGTTCTTTGTAAAACTTCGTATGCGGATTTGTGCAAAGGTCATACATCGTGTATGTCATTATTTCCATATCTGGTGATAGAATTTCCTTCTGCAAACTAGCTCTGTAGCGTGCCAAGAATGCCATGTTGGATCGTTGCCATTGATTGCCTTGATCGCTCATATGTTTGCTGATTGTACATTGCAGGACAAGGCCCGGATCATTGTAGGTCTACGTGATGGTCAAAAAAGACAATCATCGGGCAACTACTATAGCAGGTCAGACACAAGCCATACTAGCCTTTCAAGCAATAACGGTCGTAGAGATTCAATATCTATTGATGCCTTGATCAATTGGTGTGTGTGCCTGTCTTTTCCAATGAGTTCTTGTTGCTGGCGCACAATATACGTTAGAGGGGCTATGGGAGGTTTCAGCGTAACTTGTGCGCCGAAGACTTATGTTTCGCCAAATTATCTACAGGTGGCTGGAGGGAATCCGTCGCGACAGTACAGTACATTGGTACACTAGTTACTACTAGAGTACCTCGCCTGCTAGGTAGGCCAGTGGGCTAGGTAGTCTCCAAAGTACCTAGGTACTATAGGCTAGAGTAGGTAGCTAGGCCCAGTGGCCAGGGTTCAGTGAGTTGCGCGCCGAAATATTCGCTGAGTTGAACTCGAAATTTAGATTGTACTGTCGCTTTGCGCGAACTTTCCGTCATACCGCCCATTCAAGGTTTCTGCGTAAACTGTGCGCTGTGTGCGCGAATATATACTTCAATAATTATTTGCATATGTCATTTACTGCCGTACACATGCCGTTGCGGCTCCATGCCGACCACAACTATTGCCGTACTATTGCGTGCCCCGGACCCGACAAGTGCCGTACATGCGCCGGTAACGTGTGCCGCGCACGGACTGCCGGCACTAGAACGGTATGCTGCCGGCACCGACACTGCCGGACGGTACACTCCGGCACCTCGCTGACTGCCGGAGCGGCACACCATGACGGCAGGTGCCGTCACTGCCGCCGGCAGCTTGCGGCACCTGTGCGGCAAGCCCTAAATTTTGCGATGTATCCCTTCTGGCGAGAAGCGGGAGGAGTGATTGTCCCCAAGCAGGAGGTCGGGGTTTGCAGGGGACACCCCACCAGGGACGGTGTCGATGTAGTGCTGGAGGAATTGGGGAAAGAGCTCGGCAGTCATGTAGCCGTTCTCTTGCACTGCCATTTTTGCATTGGGATGCGCACCCCCCTCCCGCAACCAATCTGCTGTTAGGCTCCTTTTCCCCTTGAAAATGTACACTGGTTCAAGGTACGTCCCGTCTGCAGCAATGCACCCCACAAATGTGGTGTTCTCCCGGTTCTCAGAGATGGCGGTCTGCACAGTTTTGACCCCTTTCTGTGCTAGCACTCTGCCACCCCCTACATTGCCCGGCTGCCAGCCAGTCTCGTCCATGTTTCCAGGAGGTCTGGCATTTGGATGCGCATCGTACCACTCGCCAAGCTTCTTGTAGAAGTCAACAATGGATGCCCGTGTCTGCGCCGCACTGCGGCTTCGATCAAGACCTTCAGCAACGCGTACAGACACGTTGGAATCTGCCTGTTCAAAAAGCCTCTCCACCACTTTCTTCCCGGAATGCCATCCTTGAATGGGGTGGCCCTGCCTGCTGCTTGGCAGATCTCCTTCACCTTATGAGCTACAACGTTTGGGCTAACAGCTTGACCAAGGTCTGCCAAGTGTCAAAGATCCATTGGACAAGCAGAGCTTCCTCCGAAAGACTGAGGAAAGACTTTTTGCCGGGCTTCAAAGTGGAGGCATCGGCAGCTGCATTAGTAACGAGTCAATCTATCCTGGAGGGTGCTCCTAGGTACACAGAATTGCCTAACAGCAGACTTCACAGAAAGCTTCTTGGATCTCACAGCATCAACTGCTAGTTCAAGTTGCTCAAGAGAATACTGCTTTCTTGTGATACCGGCGCGCTTCTTGTTGCTCTCAGCAGTGCTTAGCTTGCTCTTTCCACCCTTCTTGGAACGCTTTCCCTGCTGCCCCCTCTTTGCTTCTGAGGCCCTGGACTAATTTTGGCTGGCTTTGGCCTTAATCTATGATGGGGCTTCGGCTTCCTTGCCATCCTGGAGCGAGCTGATCCACCATGGCGCCTTTGATCTGTAGATCTATTCTGAAGGATGATTCAGACAACTGTCAGATTGTGAAAGATGCAGGGCTTGCAGGGCCATGTAGACTGTAGTGCACTTCAAATCTGAATCTGCAGGTACTACAGCAAAATTTGATTGATGCAGTGCCTCTAAACTTCAAGCAGGCTGTATTTGCAAATGTAGTGTAGGCCCTGCCGCCATCTCCAACCAATGACAGGCTTCCAAATGCAGCGAATAGCAGCTGCAGATTGAGCCAACGTTGGTTGGGAAAAGGGGGGGCCGGTAATAGGGCCGGGCCGATAATAGGGACAAGTCCTCCTACCTCTCCTTGAAGTTGTTCAACTTGTTGTTCAAATGCCGAGGTCTCAGCCGTAAAAGAGGATAGACTAGGACAGATACGCGATGCCTTTCATTTCAACTTGAAAACCTCTTTTCATGTTTTTCCTCCGTCAAAAGCTATTGCCTTTCATGAAAATCAAAATGTATGGTGTTCATAAGCGGATAGAAAACGTGCTCTTGGAAAAAAGGAAGACAAACTTCAAGTTCATGCAAGCCGAGCTTGCTCAGAGTCAAACACTCACAAGCTGAATCTGATCTTCCTTGATGATTGCAAGAGACAGGAGGAAGACGCAAAGAGACCGCTCAGCACTTTGCTGTTTGTTTCCAACTGCTCTGGTTCTCTATCCGAGCTTTTTGAAAAGGTCTAACTACCGCTTGTACTATGCGCCCGCTTTTCAACAGCCCTCTTTCTGTTTACCACCCTAAATGTTCCTCACCTAGTGCGCCATGAAAGTCAAAGTGATTTCCCGCTCAGAGCAAGATTTCACCAAGGAGCGCACAGAGGATGTGCAAAAGGTGTACCGCAACCTAGACCCTGCACTTCACCCCTTTGAAAAAGCGCATGAATACACGAGGGCGCTCAATGCTGCCAAGCTAGACAAGGTTTTTGCAAAGCCGCTGATTGGAGCTCTAGATGGACATGCCGACAGCGTCTCCTGCATGGCCAAGAATCCCCGGAGGCTTAATTGCCTCCTCTCAGGGTCCATGGATGGGGATATCCGGTTGTGGGACCTGGCATATAGGTGAGAAAAGTTGCATTAGACTTTTAGGGTTTGTGTGGCGCCTGGGTCTTTTTGTAAATCCTGTAGTGCTGATTGCTCAGTGCATGCCTGCACTTCCGTGCGCCACCGCTCTTGGCAATGCCGTGTTTCCAAGGGTTGAGCAGGATTTGCCACCAGAATGGTAACGGTATGAAGCGTCTGATGGGCGTGGTGGTGCACACCCCAGAAGCGTTTTCTGGCGCGTGGATTGCTTGGCCCAGATTATCATAGCTGATTCGCTTCAGCATTGCCTGAAATCTGAGTTTGTAAGAAGTGAGAGTTGAAACCCTAATTTCAGGCCTTTGTTCTGCAACCAGGCATCCTTGGTAGGCACATGATGCCCAGGCATTCAATCCCCTTTCTATTACTGTGGTTGGTTGCAATTGGTCGCCTGGATTTGATGTCCTGCTGTCAGTTGAATCATGCGCTGTACTATTCCATGGCTATGAGAAGGGGGCTCTTGATTACTAGCTTGGAGGAGGCAAGGTTCTTCAGATTCTAGACAAACTTATCTCCATCTTGGTGCTTGCAGAAGGACCATCCGGCAGTTCCCTGGTCACCGAGGCGCGGTGACCGGCCTGGCCGTGTCGCATGATGGGGAGCACTTCGTGTCGTGTAGCTCTGATTGCACGTAAGACTGCCTCAATTGACCCACTCCGAACTTCCTAAGGATTGTTCGATGCGCTATCTGGCTCTGAGGAGTTGCTGGCTGGACCGCCAAATCCTGGCAGGCTTTGGGCTTTCAGTCATGTTGGTGTCATTTCATCAGAGCGGTGGGGCACAGGACGCCAGTCTGATATCAAAATTCATTGCTTCAGTTGCCCAAGTATAACTGCCAGCACGGCATCTTGCTTGCTTCTCCTTTTCCAATCACGTATCTTGCTTGAGGGCATCAGGTGTGGGGCAAAGAGAAACGTGTCACCCTCTCATTTGAAAGACGCATCTCCTTTCAGGGTGCGTCTTTGGAGCTTGCCTCAAACGGAGATGGGAGAAGCCTCCGGGACAGACATTGAGACGCAGGAACCAGTGGTTACATTACAAGGGAAGAATGGTTTCAGGTAAGCAATCATCTGTTCTGTTTCTTCTTACCACAAGTGTAAATATCAGAAGGGTGCTGAATCACACTTTCTGGCTAGCAATTCTTAAGGCCTTGCGACAAACTCACCCCCCATTGTATCACACGACTTGACAATGTTCATTGCATCTGAGGCAAGATACATACAAGCCTTTGTTCTGACCCTTGGGTGTCTAAATTGTTTGAAAGCTTTCGGTTTAAGTTTAGGAGCTACGTCGGCAAAGGCTGCCCTTGGACAACCTTTCTATCTTTTTTGGTCAATGTTACTCGCGTTCAGGGCAAAGCGCGTTTGGAAAAATCAGCAAGCATAGCAATAAGGAGACACTGCTCACTGTCAAGGGTGTCACCATCGTCTCTCTGGCGACATCAAGTTACTCCTGTTTTTTGCACACTCAGAAGAAAACTGGTGGACGGTTCAGAGATAGTGTCCTGGCTTGCACCGACAGCTGCAAGCTCTTTCCTTGCAGAGCGCTGGACCACCACTGGAAGGGGCCTCTCTTTGCCACGACCGGCGCGCAAGTTGACATCTGGGATCACAACAGGTGAGCTGTGAGAGTCGTTAGCTTGAGTTCGTGGTGCGTTGAATGCGGAGCAACCACTGGGCTGCGTGCAAGTTTTCAGTCAAAGCGTGACGCATCTTGAGCACTGTTTTGAATGAGGCTTCCATCGGTTTACATTGACCGGGCTTGTGCTTATCATTCTGGTCTGCAGGTCGGATCCAATCAACTCTTTCTCGTGGGGCTCTGAGTCCGTGATTTCTGTACGATGGAACCCTGCCGAACCTGACGTGTTCGCCACAACCGGAAGTGACAGGAGTATCGTCCTGTACGACATGCGAGTCAGCACCCCGCTCAGGAAGCTGATCATGCAGGTCAGTGCTATTTAAGATAGTCGATTTGCGTGCAGATTGGTGCTGACCACATATTCGCTTGAGCTTGGCGTGAATCATAATATGTGCAGCGTTTTTTGGTCTTTGCTTAACAGAACCGTAAATCAAATTAGTCGACAACGACAAAAGGAAGTTTGTGCGCGACAAAAGGGTCGCAGGCTTTCTATAAAAAAAGCTGTCCAAAATTCGCCCCCAGTTCCGAGGATTGGTGGTCAGTCAATCTTCTCTAAAAGAGAAGATTCGCTCTCTTTTTGTGCATTCCTTTCTGTCAGTGGTGAGTTGAGTCGGTCGATTGTTTTCGGCTCCGGCTCTTGTTTGAGTTCTCGGCTATCTTTTCTTCGTTGGGAGCACATGCGTCAAGTTCACGAACTTCGAAGCATCAGCTTAGAGGACTCGTGCCCTTCTCCTGATTCCGATTTAACGGGAGACGTTTGGTTACATGGCGGACACAAGGTGACGTCCCAACGACACGCCATTTTTAGAACGAGAAGTTTTGGCAGGATCGAGCGCATGAAAGTCCTTTGCTGTTGAAGCAGGAAACTGCTACGTCTGTTAGACCCGGTCTAATGCGCTTTACTGGATCCCGTGCAATGGGTAAACTTCACGACGGCCAGTAAGCAGTGCTTTGGAATCAACGCACCAGATGACAAACAATAGTCTCTGCCTGTGAGCACATAATTCCGCTTGTTTGCTCTGATGAAGCGAAGTTCCTTGCGTCCCTTGCAGACCCGATGCAACGCGCTGGCCTGGAATCCCCGGGAGGCGTTCAACTTCACGGTAGCCAACGAGGACTGCAACTGCTATACTTACGACATGCGCAAGATGAAGAGCGCGCTCTGTGTACATAAAGACCACGTCTCTGCTGTGTAAGCTCCGGACGAGGGCTCCTTTTGAAACCACAGTTGCTTCCCTAAACCAAGTGTTCGTTGACAGTAAAATTGGACCGAAGAATGTTGGCCAATGTGCTTTGGTAAAAGATGCTCTTGCGAGGACTTCGGGTTGCTGTTATGTGCCCTCGGTCAGCGGGTTTCCGGTGTAGTGTTACCCTTGTCGAAATCTGCGCTCAGTAGTGCCTCTGTTGTCTAGTTGTAAGGAAGCGGGATAGAAGCCCATGTTTTTCTACGTCCTTCCCTTCGACCTACGAACTCAGTTGCCGTAAGAAAGAGACTGTGACTTAGCAAGCGTTCTTCAACAGCGTCGTCGTTCACCAGTCAGCTGCAAGAGCACAGAGTTGAAAGGCGAGAGCTTAACGATACTTCGTTCTGCAGAATGGACATTGACTACTCTCCGACGGGCCGGGAGTTCGTGACGGGCTCGTACGACCGCAGCGTGCGGATATTCGAGTACAACGCGGGGCACAGCCGGGAGGTGTACCACACGAAGCGGATGCAGAGGTGCGTGCACGTTCTTTTAAGTGTCCTTTTCTTCTTTGGTCAGAGATCTACGAAGTTTATGACGCCTTTTTGAGGCTGGATTACGCGATTCGCGGAGTTCAAGCGGGGAACGGCTGGGAAGTGTAACACATGAAGCATATGACGAGGTGCCACATGGCAGTCATCAGAGCGCTGTGCAGTCTACACCCGGTGACGGAAGGCAAGAAGTCGGGTCGTATCGGTCCATTGATTACCTGGACGGCAGCAAAGGAATTTCAAGCGCACTACTGGACATCGTGTCATTTCTTTGACGGCAGACCTCTCCCAGAACATGCACTGTCTTCGAAAAGCGTTCATGACTGAAGGTATTTTGCAATTTACCATATGAGCGCAGATGTTCGAAGTTCGTTCATATATGAGGTCCAACGTAGCCGTTCTTGAAATCACTTCGGAGGTCTTCTTTGTACAACTGTCTGCGGGGAATATGCAACTCTCGCTAGTCAAGCCTCCTGCTTTACATGATTCTGGACCGTCCGATCGGTTTCCGGAGGGATCGGATGGCCCAAATATGTGTGATTGACCATCCTGCAGGCCTCAACCTTGCAAGTTTCACGCAAGCTAAATATCAACACGTGACGCGGTTGTTCATATGGGTTTTAGAGACGAGCCCAATCCTGATGCTTGATTTCACAGACAGCCAAAGAGTGGAGCGAGCTTGAGGCGACAATAACACACTTCCTTTTCTCGTACAGGGTGTTCTGTGCGAAGTTCAGCGGGGACGCTACGTACGTATTGACGGGCAGTGACGACACCAACATTCGGATATGGAAAGCGAAAGCCTCGGAGCAACTAGGAGTGGTGAGGATTCATGACCTTCTCTTCAGACGCGACTGTCCTGGTTCTCACGGTGGGATGCTTCTAAAGGGCCGGTCAATGTCTTTCTTTTGCTTCGTCATGTTGTTCTGAGAAGGCAGGTGTCTACGACAAGCGATAAATAGATTTTGCGGGGTCGCGTGACTTTCGGGTAAGATCACGGGCGCAAAAAAGGAAGTAAGTTGGTGATGCAGACAACGCCGGGTTCGTGAAGGCAAAGTTCTTGCATGCTTTGGGGATCCGTTGGGGAGTCCCGGCGAAAGTTGTCAAGTCGGAGCGCGCCGTTTGACGATACAATCCGGCCTACCGTTTCGGTCGCCCCTTTAGAGGCGCCTTTCAGGTTCACATACACGAATCAGCCATGCTTTCTTGTGGCGTACTCTCAAACGGGCGAGACGAGCTGACATTACAGTTCTGCCCCGTCCTTTGACGGACTTTTGTCCAGAGTTTCGGTGCGAAGTTGTTCTCTTGTGAAGGAACAAATGCTCACCGCGAAACTGTTCTCTTGTAATACCTACCGTGCACCATAACATCGTGTCCAGCATAACCTCGTCAAAGAATCTGCAGGTTTGTTGTCGATTCTTGAGTGCGGATCACAACTGCTACGTTCAGAAACGTGCACGCTGCTTGCCTGCCTGTGCGCAAATATGCTCGACGTTTTGGACCACTTTATTTCTTCCGGCTATTTGGAACCTTTCTCACACTTAGAAACGATGATAAGAGGAAATTTTGCAGAATTATCAATCCTTGAAGTACGAATACAGCTGCTACGTTCAAGTCGATTCCCTTCTGAAAACGTGCACGCTGCTCTGCTGCCTCTAAATGTGCGCGGTGTTTAGGGACACGTCATCTCTATCGGCTCTTTCGAACCTTCTCACACTCGAAAGGAAGATAGGAGGGCTAACGATTACCCATGCGCATGCAGAAACTGCCACGGGAAAAGGGCAAACAGGCATACATGGAAAAAGTGAAGCAGCGGTACAAGTTCCTGCCAGAAATCAAGCGGATAGACAGGTGAGCACGGGACCAGTAACATGGAAACTGATTTTGCTGAAGTCGTGGCGTCATGTGATACGCATGTTGATTGCGAAGAGCTCGCTTGTGCAGCAAGTTTGGTACGTGAAGTTGCTTCGCATGTGCTTGTAGTTCTGGTTTCTTGGTAACAAGTTTAGGCAAGCGGGTGTCACGGTTCTCGCAAATACCAGGTGTTCAAGTTGCATGTTAAGGCTGTGGGTGTGCAAGCTTAAATTGGAGTCTTGGCGTTCAAGAACATCTGCCAAGTCGGTGCACTTGCACTCGATGGAAAGCACGATCTGTGTGTTTCTTGAGCAACCAAAATTTCTCAGCGTAGATCGCTAAGCTTTCTTTTCTTTTGGGTGCAGGCATCGACATGTACCAAAAGCTATCTACAAAGCGGAGAAGCTCAGACAAACGGTTGCAAACTCGGATAGAAGAAAAGACGATAGAAGGAAGAGGCATAGTGCACCAGGCTCCATACCCAACATCCCCGCCAGGAAAAAGAAGATTGTACAAGAACTTGAATGAGGCGGTCATGCTTCACTGTACAGTGTTCGAAGTTCTTTTGGTTTCTGATGCCATGATGGTGTAAACGAGCCGCGGCTGCAAAGCCATTGCTAAGTTCGAAGTTGGCAATCAACTTCAAGTGCAAACTGAATGTGGTTTGTATTCAGACGCGTGCAATATGCAAACTTAACAAATGCAAACAGACTCGAAAAGTTTTGGTATGAGGTGGTTCGTCAAGCTGCATGTGTCATGTGCCATGATGCAACAGGTATGCACATGATGATGTGACCTGAAGAGTATTTTGGGAAATATGTGTACGTCGCATCGTTTGCATGGAGCGCTCAGCAGGCTAGGTACCTACGACAATGCACGTTGCGAAGACTTCTCCAAAACCGCGGTTTGGAGCGTGGTTAGTCATTCGGTTCGGGCATGGCCCTTTTTGACCGTCCAGTTTCTGCAAGCTGTTCATCGGACGGCCGAAGCTTCTCTTCGACGTCGACGTGGCTCATAATGAATTGGCCACGTAATCATACGTTATCCACATTATCAACTGCCTGCTGAACGCAAACAAAGATTCAGAATCTTCACAACACTGTAAACAACACACCAAGGGCGTCAACTGGCGATCACCAGAGGTCACATTCAGGGGCGATACTTTTATCATTTTCAAGAGTAACAGCAAGGCGTAGTTTGGATCGATTTATCTGAACTCTGCCTACCTGATTAATAATCATGGCGTCTGCGATCGCTTCCTCTGCCAGCCGGGCCCTGGTGTCACCCACAGCGGTTGTGCAGCGGCAAAGCGCTTCGAGGCAGTTTTGCATGCCCATTGCATGCAGACCCTCTTCGATCGCTGACAGCAGACCGGCTGGTGTCAGGTGTCAGGCCTCTTCTGAGCAGAATGAAGCGATCCATTTGGGACGGAGGGAGGCTTTGATTGCAGGGCTCGCAGGGTTGGCTGTTGTTGGGGCTGTTGCTCCGCCAGAGGCGCATGCCGATCAGTTGGAAGAGTACAAGGAGGACACCAAGTCGATAATCGGACAGATTAGAACTGCATTGGATCTCGACAAGAAGGACCCTGCCAAGCCGGATGCAGTAAATGCGCTGCTGGAGAACTCCACAGGTAAGACAGAGACCAATGTGATCTGTGGTTTGTGCCCTTGTTTGCATGGTTGGTTGCGTGGCCTTATGTCTGCATCCTTCCGGTAGAAGCTTTGTGATTGAAAGCCACATTGCCTATTCAGTCAACAGTGTTGAGCATCGGTCTCTTTCTGCAGTTCCCGTCAGCTGCAAAGCTAGGAACTGAATTATTTGGATGCGACGGTTCGATTGCATTGGCTGAGTTCTGCCAACCTTTTGCTTGGGCTAAGAGTCCTGACAGAGCCTTGGTGGCCCTCGCCATTCTTATTGGCTGGCTGGTTTCGTTAGAGGTGGCTCTTTGCGGCTGCCGGTTTTACTTTACCAAGTAGTTGAATGGAACACCTTTGAAGAAGGATGACTTGTGACAGCAGCAAGCAGATTGCTTTGTGCGAATCGGCACTTCCGTACTGGTGTCTGGAGGTCCTTTCGAGTCTTAGGTTCTGAGCAGTGTCCCCTCATGGGGAAGGGCAAGGAGCCAGGGCGCTAAGACCATCAACGTCGTTTACACTATACGCTATAGTTGTATTCAGATTCCATCTTCAATGCGAGAGTAATTTAGGGTTTAATAATCTTGACGCAGTTTGTCCGTCTCTGCCCAGCCTTGGTCCTCAGGTGCAATAAAAACTCTAGTCTCGCTCATGTTTTGCTCTGTCTCAGCATTTTTCTCATTCATCAAAAGCAGACGGCATTCTTCAAGCATCGCAGTATGCTCTTGAACCAGATTAGGGTTTATAGTACTGCTATTGTATGCATCAAATCGCCTTTACAGTATCTAAACACATGTGGGAAAGTTAGCACCTTCACTTCAATTGCTCGTTTAATGGTCGATTCCTTGCATGTATAACAGCAAGTATTTGAGGTGGTTGCTCCAAGTGTTTTACTACGTACTACGAGCAAAAAGTCTTTGCATTTGCGCAATTCGTTTACGTATCAGCAACGCTCTTTGACACTGTGAAGTTTGCATGGAGAGCATGTGCCTGTGAACTTGCCAACACGACTTACTCTAATTCTGGTGTCAAGGTTCCACGTGTACCTTTGTTTTTGAGCTGTGTATGGATTCAAAGGAAGACAAGTATCGCCGCAGGAAACCGAACACTTAGCACCCAGATGCGGGAGGACAGTGGATTACACTTGAACCATGTTTGTAGGATATGTAGGCTCCACTCGACAGGAACATATTTAGGTTCTTAGGTGCAGATAGCAAGTAGGTTTCTGCACTCAGCCGTGGGAAGGACACAGAATGTGCCGCTTTAATTAGGCGTTTGGTTCTCTGTTGTCTTGGCTGCTTCATGGCTTTGCTAGTGATTGTAGCTTTCAACAGGTCTTGAAAACTTCTTCTGCTTGCTGATTATGTTTTGGTATCTTTGCAGCGTGGGTTGCCAAGTACAGGCGTGAGAAAACCGTTGCTGGCAAGAGCTCGTACGGCAATGTGTACTCGGCAGTCAACGCTGTTGCGGGTCACTACAACAACTTCGGCCCCACCTATCCTCTGCCGGCAAAGAGAAAGGACAGAATCTTTGAGGAATTGGTTGACGCCGAGAAGCAACTAGCGAGGAACAGATAGGTAAATGACAATCTGTCCTAATCTGCTTTGATAGATTGCATCGTAGGTCGAGTTGGGTTCCTCAGTGTTTTTGGGTTGAGATGAGACGAGATTGTCTTGATCACAGTAACACTTGTGTTCACGGCTCAAGTTGCAAGCATACGAGTGTGTGAGAGGCTGTAATTTACCAATTATTGACGGCGCGTGTGTGTGGACTTTACCTGCCGCATTAGGAAACATTACGAAATCAAATCCTGGATACAGATTGTCTTCAAGCTCGGTTGACAGCCTCCAGGATAATCTGTACCTACTAGCCTACCTACATGACCCGCTTCTTGAAGCATATCCGCCGTGTGGCTTTACTTCTGAGAGCTGGCCCAGTGAGTCAATCCGACGCATAGTACGTGCGAGCTGTTGTACCTAAGCAATCGACATATTGTGCGCATAATTATCGTCGCTCTCTTCAATTGCACTTTAATGTACAGAGCCAGCCTGAAGTTGTTGACTGAGTCTATGACATGTATCATTACATTCAATGAGACTGCGGCGCGGCCGGAAACTCTGTTGCACAAAGAAAGCTTTCTAGCCGATGTGTGCACACAGTTGCTGGCAGCGCTCCGGACCGTAAAATGGCTTGCCCTGAGCTAATTAAGCATTGAATCGTATGTTCGTAATCATTGAATGATTGTGACTTGAAGAACCGCCTTAAGTTTATACGTCGTGCACCACACACGTATGGTGCAGATTTTACATCAAGCATGCATGTGTGCATCATGTGCAAAAATATCTGAAACTACAATCGCGGCGCACATTGGCTGGTCGCAAACTCATAGATACAATCCGGAGTTCTCGATTCCGACGAGTCCAATGTGCAACAATCTATCTTGATTTCATGATGGGCTGAATGAGTGAGATGATCAAGCCCATATGCCGGTGGTACCATGCATAGCAATCTTTCCGAGTCACATGCACCATGAGCTCAAGCTAATACCGCGAACTTACCTGCATAAACGATAGTTCCCCCATTCGGAGGGTACATATGGCCGGTTCAAAGACTGCAACATCACGCTGACACTTTACCAGCCCAGCGGCTGCATAGAGCAGGGCCAGACATCGACAGCTTACTGGCCGGCCAGGCGCGAAACTTCGATTGAATGTTTTTGCACCTGGAATGCTTCATCGTTTGCTTTCTACATGCCCTGGCAGTACAACCGGTCATCTTGCGGTTGCCCATTGCATTGAAATTCCTGTCGTTTTACCGGACGCGTCTCCGGGCGCAATACCCTCTTCCTACTTGCATTGATACACGTCTTTCCGACAATGAATCTTTCTTACAAAGATATCTTACAGATTCGCGGCATACCCTATGGTCGTCTACCGAGCAGTTCTCGGGTTTCGTGGACACCCGTTCCCCTCGAGCAGGTGCTCCGCCCAGCCGTCCTCCCCCGGTATGTCCGCGCGGCACAACGGGCAGCGTCCGATCTCAGACGAACGGCTGCCGGCGCGGCAGGTCTTGGAGTGCCGCGTCAGCTCTTCCTGAGGGACGGCCTCGTTGCACTTCGGACACTCTGCGTAGACACCTCCCTCCTGAAAACGGTTGGGAGATGCTCAGGGACTGGCTCAGACGGAAGCAAGACCTGACTGTGGACGAATTCTCATTGGCAGGATTTGAGCCGCATTTCATGGGCGATGCAGGGGGTTCTTCGCAGACCTTCGTTCTTGGATTCAAGATGTAAAAGGGAGCCCTTCTGCGTTTGTTAACAACTGTGACGGGTTACGTAACGGAACTTCAATTTCTTCTAATTGCTGCTAGTCGGACGTCGATGCGGAGATGTCGTTGGCCTTGATTGACGGGCTGGTAATACGTTGCCCAGAAGCGAAATCAGTCATGCTGCCGAGGAGATCATTGGGACAAAACCTCGTTCACCGAAGAAGGGGTTTCTACGAAGACTCCCACAGGCCTTGCACCCCTCGAGCGGATCCTCAGCAACCGACGTCCTCGAAGAAAAGAGGAAACTTGCACATAAACGTCGGAATAGGCGGCTTCTGAGGAACATTCGGACCCCAGAACGACAACAAGAAGGAACCCATCATATAGCAGAGGGACTGAAAACCCGGCCTTGAGACACCAGCTCAACTCAGTTCAAAGACACACTTGATGACGCTCTCTGACTGTTCGCACCTCGCATTCTTCGAGCCGGTGTTCCGTCAGCGACGCGATCTCGACGATTTGGCCGCACTCGTCGCAGCTGCAAAGCATCGGACACTCTTGGAAGAAGTGGAGGTCCATTGTCTCGCCCGTAAGAAACCGCTCGTCTACCACGCCGCAAAACTGGCACGTGTCGGTCGGACCGTCTTCCTCGGCGTCTTCTTCGGTGGGCGGGGGGTGGGCTGACGTCTGCGGGAGAGGCGGTTAAAAGAGTAAGGACGGGGTGTGTGACAAGGTAAATTCTCGAAGTTTTGAGATTGAACTGGTGATAAGGTTGATCTACGCAACGGTTAACACAGTGAGCAAAGAATCGTGCGACACTACAAACAGAGGTTTTGATGGTGTAGTAGTGACGAATCTACTTTAAAAAACGAGTAGGCTTTGCGGTTTCCAAAGATTGGAGAAGGGCCACATATCAATCCAACGGAGTGAGGGGTGACTTTGAAGATCAATTGGATGAAGAGTGGGGCAGAATTGAAGACGTGATTCTTTGATCTGTGTATACGAGCTGCTAGACGAGAAAAGCAGACACCAATCCGTAACGGAACACAAAGCTTCAACCCAATCATGGGCAACAGAGTGACACTTGACAAGCGGAGGCAAACCCCCGCTCGAAAGCTGCTAATCACAAAGTATGGCAAAGCGTATACGCGCTAACAAAGGCTTCGTCTCGGTTGAGCGGTGCCCATCGGACGCTATCCACCTTTCTTCCACTTGTGAAAAACAGAGGTCTACTTGTTCCGCACGTGCACCTCCATGTGAAATCAGCAAAGCGAAGGTACATATTTTCATGACTACAAAGCTCTTTTGTTGCTTTCCGACCTTACCTTCGGCCTTGGCCCATGCCCCCTTCCCTCGTCCCCCCCCTCCCCGGAGTGCTTCCCCGAGTGCTTCCCATGCGCGTGCTTCTTTACCAAATGCCCCGGGGGTCTAGGACTGCCTTCCGGATGCCCCCCCTCGAGATCTCTCCTTTTTTGGGGGGGCGCTTTCGCCTTTTTCGTGGCCGGGGGATCCCCCCCGGGCTGACTCTTCCCTGGCTGCGACGCCTTTTTCCTTCCGGGGGGTACGATCCCCGCCCCCTGCAAGTTACCTTCGCTGATCCCCCCTATGCTAGACCGCCGTTTCGTTTCGATTACCACCCCCCCAGACGCCGCCTGACTGTCCGCTTTCTCAAATTCGGACGACAGCGCTTCCCGAACGACCGGTTTCAGACCGGACAGGTACCGCTCGACCCCGGTCCCTATCAACCGGTACACGTGGACGGTTACCGCGGTGGCCTGCGCGCGCACCTCGCCGTTTGCGCTCGCGAACGAATCGCAGACGAACTTCATGAGCTGGTCGACGGGAAGGCCGCTTTTGGACGAGGGCGAAAGGCCGTACGTCTGAAGGAACGCTTGTTGCAGCGTCAGGCGTCCGAGAACCATCTTCCACTGCGCCTGTGGGGAAGAAATCAGACAGGAATATCTGGAAACTAGTTCTTGGATCGATGTGACAAGCTTCGTGGAATCACAAACTGATTGATTTGAAGGAGGAGGAGAGAAATTGTGGGGAAACTGATGACGAGACGCGCCAAGTCGTAGAGGCTTCGTGTGCTTTGTGAGGCGCACAGAAACTCTCAGAACAAGAGCGAAGTTTTGCACACTGCTTGCGGCTGCAACAAAGTTGAGTAGGACAGGCAACAAACGAAAACGACAAAATAACGAAGAAGGGCACAGAAAAGTTCCCGGCAGCCATTCTGGCTCTTACGCACGCTTTCAAAGAAAGACGATGGGGCAGACCCAAAAGGAGTTCAGTGGAATAAAACTTAGAAAAGCATAGGGACTTTTACTGGCTGCAAGTGCTGAAAGGGGCGTGCAAAAAGCTCGTCGAAATGAAACATTTTCAGGAGAGCATCGCCGGAGAACACACCAAACTCTTGAACGGTCTCAGCTACTGCAGGAACCGGAAACTCATGAACAAGGTAATGAAAGGAGGACTATGCGCGTGTAAACGCAGTAAAAAAAGCTAGAACGAGGAACTGAAGTGTGAAGACCGCTGACCTGACTCTTGACGGGTCTGAGCAGCGGCCCCACCACCGCCGCCGGCCCCACTTCCTTCCGCTCCGCCAGCCACTGCAACGTCTCGCTCGACGCAGTCTGCACCCTAGCGTTTGAGTCCGACAACCCCCGCTCCAACAGGGCCCCGATAATTTCCCCGCTGCAGTTTTGGACGTCCCTCGCGGACGCTTCCGAAGCGTACGATGTGAATAGGCCACGAACGAGGGGGATGGCGTTGAAAAACACGCTCGCGACTTTGTCGTTTAGGCCTTTGAGCGTGGCTTTGACGAGGCCCCGGAACAGGGGGGCGCCGTCCGCGGGAAATGACCCCCCCGCGAGGTCCTTGAGGAGCTTTTGGAAGGCGGCGTCGCGGAGCTGCCAGCTCTGCGCGGCGAGAAAGAAAAAAAGACATTTTGGTTTACGGTCCGGATATATTCTACCGTTTATTTGCCCGTTTTTTTGTTTTCTCGACGGTCTGTATTTGCGAGAATCGCAGAGCAAGGATGTAAGATTCTGCCAGATCTGCGAGGTAAGACATTCTTTATTCCAAGAGTCTGGGCTACACGTCGTTTGCAGAACAAAAGGTACTCTCGATATTCCATCTAAAAGTGCGCTTTTTGTTCCATTCTTTTGCATTTGCAAGCGAAAATCATCGTCCAACGCTGTCACCTGCGCACAAAGTACATTCAAAAGGGACCCCGCCGGAACCACCGGAACCATCAGAAGCGACGGAACGGAATCTGGAGCCGGCCTTCGGAATCGTTCCTTACCTTTGACAGGATACAGAGCGCAGTGTATTCCCCGACCGCCGTCACCAGCGCCGCATTCTGCTTCATCACCTCTCCGTTCTGCCGTTCCGGTTCCGGAAGTTCCGCTGAGATCCCGTCCGGCCGTTGCGGCAGCGGAGACGTGGGTGACGTCGGCTCGCTGCCCACGTCATCCAGCCCTGCGAGTATTCACACCACATCTTTCAGGCTTTTCACCTCTCGACGTTCCGGAAGTTCCGCCAATCCTCCCTTCGGCCGTTCAAGTCAGCGGAAGGGCACAGTCCATCGCCCCCGCGCCCATACTGAGACGTGCTGTTACATGCCTTTTGTATCGGAAGTCCTTTGGATGGCCACCTTTCTCTCGCTTCGACTTTCAGGAGAGATTCATTTCGCTATGCGAACGCGCAAGAATATAAAACTGTACGGGGAGCAACCCCACGCTCTCCCCACTCCTTCCGGCACGCACAAAGCTGTCATGGCGGTGTCGAACAATATGGAACGGAGAACGCAAGTGTCTAAAGGGTAAGTAAGCTTTAGCTGAGGGAAAGGGATTAAACTTGGAAAGGGCGATGGGGGTACGATGGGGGTATACGAACCGGGTGAAGCCGTCGGCTTTCCCCACTGCTTCCGCGGCCCGGTGCTTCCCGACGCGGCCGCGGTGCGCCCCGAGTCGCGCCGCGCCTTGTCGCGATTCGCGAGGTCGAGGGGGTCCGGCCCCCCGTTCTCCTCCTGCAAGGATGACGTCACGGATGATATAAGCACGAACCGCAAAACAGAGTAGGATGAATGACAATAATTGCGTTACGGGAAAGTGCGACTGAGTGTATTCTAAGAGGCCTTCTGGAAGAATCTGGAACTCGTCGACGGCTTATATGGCGACCTTGTGCGGAAGCCAAGATAAATCACGACGTCCATCTCTCGTTGCTTTCCAGGCTCGACTTCGTTCTGGAAAGAATGAGTTGCCAGTAAGTTCTACGATTGGCGCGTGACGGCTTCGCCCTATTATGATCCTCGTCGATATGCGGTGGAGCTTCCAAAGGCACGCACTGGCTACAATGGCTCGCGCCCAGAAATGAGCGTATGATGATGCATGGCTGCGCCTTAGAACTCTCCGAGTACCGCTACGCACAGAAGAACTGATTCAGCCCAATTGATCTTCTCGCTTCCTATGCTCCTTTACCAGATTGGAGGCTCACAACTTCATTCAAAACCAAGTCACCGAGTGGCCACCGGCATTTATCTCCGGCGCACTCCATTCATCTGGTCGTCATAACTACCACACGAAGCTTGAATGCTTCCCTCCAAATCACACTCCGTATCATGTGTCGATCTGTCCCGGCACTTACCATCAAATCGTACCCATTCCCGTTTGCGGACGCAGCGCCTTTGATTGGTCGGTCGTCGTACGAATTGGACAGCGTCCGCTGAAGGCTGGGCGACGCGGGGCTGTCCGGATCCGAGAGTTGGTCGCCAGGAGGGGCGTCCGAAGCGTACGACTCGGACGGGGGCTCGGGGTCCTCGTTCTCTGGCCGAGAGTTTCTACCGCTTTGGAGGACTCTGCAAGTGTGCGCATCTGGGGTTGACATCCTCGTATCTGATTCGATTTTATTCTTGATGCTCTTTTGGTAAGAGCAAGACTTCTCTATATTTGACGCACGTCCGATATGCGATGCGCGATGCTCATTTCTTAATTCCTTGTTTAACAATCTTTACACTCCTGCTTTCAACTGACAGGGGAAAAACAGAATGGACATCACGCCTGAGACCGCGGATTGTCCTTCTCGAGTCCCTAGTCCGTTGTACCTCCTTTGTAAAAGGATCGCGAAAGCAAACTGCCCATCCAAGATGAATGTATTGACAGGACGCGTGAGAAACTTCCCACCTGTTGAACACAGTCTCCGGATCGGGCCTCGTCACGCTCGCCTCGTTCAGACTCAGACTCTCAAACGCCGTTCTCCCCCCTCCTCCCTCTAGCGGTACAAGGCCCCCCTCTTTGCTCCGCAGCGCATCGATCTCTTCCTTTATCTTTTTCGCCGCGTCGTAGTCTTCCCTGTCGACCGCGGCTTGCTTTCGGGCTTCCAAAACGGCGACCTGGTTCCCGAAGGCGCGCACTCGGTCGATGATGACTTTGAGCCGTTTGGCTTCGTCGTAGTCTTCATTCCTTACCGCTGCGTCTTTCTGCGCGAGCAACTGAAAGGAGGCGAGGAGAATGTTCAGACAATGGACCAAAAGGGAGGTGAGAAACAAGCGAAGAGGGCACGGAAACAATCGATCATGACCTTTGGCGGTTTGGCCTCGTCGTAGTCTTCGTTGCGAACAGCCGCGTCTTTTTGCGCGAGCAACTGAAAGGAGGCGAAAACATGTTTAAAAAAGGGTGACATAAGCAAAGAGGGCACAAAAACGTTCCATTATGACCTTAGCGTTTGGCCTCGTCGTAGTTTTCGTTCCTTACCGCTGCGTCTTTTTGCGCGAGCAACTGGGAAGAGAAGATATAACTGGTCAGCAAAAGCTGACTGAACAAAGAGGTGAGCACTAAGCAAAGAGGGCACGAAGCGATGATGTATGATTGTGCCGTTGTGGCCTCGTCGTAATCTTCGTTCCTTACCGCTGCGTCTTTTTGCGCGAGCAACTGGGGAGAGGCGAAGATGGAACACTTGGTCAGAGAAAGGTGAGTGGACAAAGAGGTGAGTAAAGAGGACCCAGAAACGACCGATCGTGACCTGCTTCGATTTTGCTTCGTTGCAAAATTCGTTGCGGACAGCCGCGTATTCTGCGCGAGCGGCTGTGGAAGCAAGAGAGGGGTTGAAGGCAGGGTTGAAAATCTGGATCACCGGGGGGAGCCAATGAGTTCATCTTATGTTGGTTATATTTCACGTTGTATCTTTGTTCTCGTTACGATTCCGCCAGGAGATTTCAAGCTACAACACTCCAGAAAGCTGAATATCAAGAGCGGGATCAATGGGGCACTCCTCGTTTAAAACAAATCAATGTGAGCGAGCTATCGCGACGAGGGCGGTCTTGAGGAACCTATTCGCAATCAGCAGAACGGCGCAACGCCCTATCCTGATCTTGACCAACGCCTTTAGGTCACAGCATAGCCCAGACAGAAGAAATCCTGCTTCTCACCTCCCTCAGCTGTTGCGCCGTCACCGCATCCAAAATCTCTAACAGGGGGTGGTTTGGCGGCACTCAGCAACTAGAGTAACTCCACTATTTGCCATCTTTTTTAGTTCACATCAAGTAGGGAGTACAGTCCGCGGTTTGTAACATTAAAGCCTTGTTTTCTTACCTCTCTAAGCTGTTGCGCCGTCACTGCGTCCACGCTTTCTAGCAAGGGGTCTTCTGGCGGCGCACCTCGTCCCCCCCGCCCGTTCTGCGCTCTCCCCAAGAGAGCTTGCTGGGCCAAGGCCAGTTTGGCCGCGTCTAACGGTTGCCCCACGATGTTCAGGGCGACGATGCCCACCTGTTGACGAGCAAAAGGTCGCTGCTTTCTTCAAGTGCTTGACATGTGCACTTGATTCGGCAAAAGATTTGAGCGGCTTGAGGGATCGACTAAGATCTATCAAGATTTACGAAAGAGAGGAGATTCTTTCGAGCAGCTCCCAAGAACGCCATGTCGCAGTCTCCCCTCGCTCTAGATTGTGGAGCGTGTGCAGCACCAACAGGATCCAATGGCAGCCGCGAGCGCACTTTGAGCGTCTATTTTGTGGCGTGAGCTGTTTGAGGCGTTGCTCTGTTGCTTTCAAATCGAGTCACCACGTGTGCAGACTGATCCAGGAATTGCATTGGTGGATCGTGCACAAACCGAAACACCCTAGATCCAAGTTCTTCAACGTTGGTCTTGTCCTGGTGGGACTGGAACAACTCAAATGTCGCCAAGGGCTTGTGCCAGAACACCGCAAAAGCCTCGCACCTCAAAGCCTCACCTGGTTGTATATGTTGAGCTTGTTTGGGTGGCACTTGTGCAGCAAAAACTTGATGACCTGCGCCGGGGTATCCACGTGGACGCTTTTCAGCTCCCGCGCCTGGTGATTACTCCGCTCGTTAGGGTCGAGCGAGAGATAACCTAACCGCTTCAGGGGGCATTGCGACGGGTCCAAAATGCCAGGGGGCGGAAGCCCAACGAATACTTCGATCTTGCACGAGATCTGCATTGAAGGTGAAGCGTCAACTCAGCATTGCGGAAAACGCCTGATGCGGGTGGATGAGGCTTCGACGATCTGACAAGGTGACTCTCTGGATACATTGAAACGACAGTCCTTTTGGGAGAGCATGGGTGTCTTCGACACTTCCTTCGTTGTCATAATGGGAAGTGGCCAAACTGTCGAGCCGACAACTAGAGCAGGGCAGAGTTAGACCGGTCTCTCCAACACCGCTGGCCGGTGCGGAAAGACACGTCCACTCTTGTTTGATCATGATCGCCATGAGCAGGCGGAACCGGCGCAACAATAGTCAGTGGCGTTAAGTCAGCATCTGTAGCGCTACTCAGTTCAGCGGCCTGACAATCCAGCGGATGCTCTGCATACTTGTCTTCAACACTGTGCTCTTCCAACCGCTCATTTGTCGCCCCAAAGATGTGTATTTGCTCACTTCGACCCTTGGCCGCTTGCACGATTTTTGACCTCAGACTTTTGGATGCGTCGGATTGCGTTTCAATGTTCATTTCGTATGCAAACCAAACCCGGTATGCTCTCCACGCCCCCTTTTGTGGGGCCTTGGCCGTCCGCTCGACCAACCACCATCAGCTACCGCAGACCATTGCCAAAATTTTGACGCCCTCTATTCAACGGGTGGTCCCAGCACTGGTTCTCTCAGCCAATTCTCAGAAAGCGTCCCCAAGCGCTCACCTTAAACTCATGCGACAGGAGCTGGATCTGGTGCACCTGCGCCGGCTTGTCGAGCTGCAGAATGAGCTCCTGCGGGAACTTGCAGAAGCGGGGGCTTTGCCATCCTTTTGTGTGGGGGCTGTGGAAGTTGAGCTCTTTGGCGGGGTAGTCTGGATCCTGCATTGATATGGATCGTGGGTAGATTGTTCGACTGACTGCCTAGTCGTTAAGTGTTTTTCTAGCACGCACTCAAGATTGAGTCCAGTTGCCCTTGATCGTGGGTGGTGTGAAGGCAGAATTCCAGTGCACAGACTAGCGGGTATCTTTTATAAAGAGGACGGCTTGATTCGAAGTTCTTCCAAACAGAGCTCTGCATGAAATAGTTCTGGGGTGCTGTTGAGTGGCAGCAATTCTGACGGGGGCGATGCTGCTTCTACTTGCAATAGTGCTGGCTTTGGCTTAAGCTTAATCAGAAGCGGTGAAAACGTCGGTGTTTGCTGTGCGACTGAAGGACATGTCGTTTTTCAAGCTTGCATTTGCAAGGAAGCAAGAGTCCTTATAGATTCGACTGCGCTGCGTTAATTGAGCTCTTGAACATAGAAGCCCCACGCTGAACTAGGGTTTCTTCTGTGTTAATACACTTTGTCAAGCAGAAGTTCAGCGCATATTGTTCAAAGCGTCAACTTATTAAAAACAGTGCCGATTATAGCACTCGCTAATCAAAGCAGAGAGAACATCTTACCTCTCCCGAGGCAGACTCCACCGTGAAACGGAGCTTTTGCGAAGCACCGGTAGCCATCTCAACTCTCATCCAGCTATCCTCTTATGCACTATCTGCAGCCCAATGTCAGCCAGTCACGTTTACGGGCGGGGTTTGGCCCCGGTTCGGCGCATCAGGCTAATGAGCTGCATTCATTGTGCACATGCAGTATCTCTGGTTCGGCGCACATTCAAACTCCTCTTTTCAACAGACTCTATTCTATCAGTAGAAAATGAAAGTCTTAGCCCCCTCTGAAGAACTGGCAATCTCAAAGCACGCTCTCTAAGAGCTGGACCACAGATGCGCGTATCTTGTCTTTCCCCGGCCTCCTTTAGCGCTAAAGAGCTCAGCGCGAGGACCCAAAGTCACCCCTCGGAGCTACCAGCTGACTACCTCACTGTCGCAGGGTGAGCTGGCCGCATGATGCATACGCTGTGACGCCTGCAGCTGCATTCATGCTGTTGACATCCTTCTGATGCCCTTACTCCGCCCGCCACATTGTCTAAGTTCCCTAGAGGCTAGCCGCAGGGCTCTCCTCTTCAACCTAGACTCCAAAGCTGCCTACCTCAGTGCGCCTCTGCGATTGTAACAAAAGATAGAGAAAGCAGACATAGGATATGCAATGCAATGTGCAATTTTAACAGGGTAAACCTAAAGAGAACCGCAGTGGGTTACCGTAGGTAATCCTTTATGTAGGTACCGGTATACTACCTACTGTAACATCTGTACCAATTGTGCCTTGAACGAAGTCAGGCACTAGTCAGCCACCAATCTGGCGGCAGTTGAAACCGACGGTGGTCGGTCGTGACCTCATTCATCGGACGGTGTGAGAACCTCCAAGCTATTTCCTTACCTACCCGCGCCCAACCTCGAGCGCGCACCACGACGTAAGGCGGCCGCGGCTTCGATGGCCCAGCTAGCTAAACACTTTCAAATTGAAGTTCAATTGAATCTGCATGTATTGAGCTTTGAGTTTGAGGAGAAAGCGCCTTCAGAAACTGCTCCTGCATTGAAGTTCGCGAAGTCTACTGCTATTTGGCGTCGCCATCATCTAGGGGGCCTAAGTAAGAATTCTTCATCGCTGGAAGCACACGGAAGATTGAAATTTTGTTGGGGGTGGCGGTGCAAGAAAGGGTATCAACCTTGGAGTGTTGGTGTTCAACAAAAGATGACGGAACCGGAAGTTCTGATCTTTGATGTCAATGAGACTCTACTAGATTTTGCGGCGGCGCTTGAACCGATCTTCAAGCGCATCTTTGGGGTCAAGGCAGAGGGGAAGAGGCAGGCATGGTTTGGCATGGCGGTGCACTCAGCATTTACTGCAATCATAACCAAAAAGTAAGTGGTATGCAACTCAGCATTCATTCGAGTGCACCCAAAGTATGAGTATAAAAGAATGAATACATGCATGTTGCCTCAGTTCTGTACTTGTTCTCAATTCAAATTACTGATGGCTGCTGAATGTGCTGACACCCTATTTTGACTTCTTTTGTGATCCTCTTGACTTTGCACTGATCCATAGGTCCTTGCTCTCAAAAAGCTGGTATGGGAACGTCATCGAAGAAGGACTGGCTACAAGTCTCCAGCGAACTGTGTGCCTTTTGATTTGAGAAAAGCTCTGGATTCAGCGAGCGCGCCAGCGTGTCCTGACAAGATCTAAAAAGGTCTCAAGCCACCACTTCAATCTGCTAAAGAAATAAAGCCTTGGTTCAAACTTTTGCGTCAGTGAGTGGGGATCGTGCAGCGGAAGCGAAAAACAACCCTGGCTCGACCCTTACGTGAAGAAGATGCCCCCTGTCAGGTGGTGCAGTAATGAGAGTGTGAGGACCCATTCACACGTCTTCTTTCAACCTACCATGTCGCTATATTGCTTGCAGCTCGAGCTCATCATTTGACAGACTGTCTTCATCTGATGGTTAAGGACAGGCTGGCATCTGCAACAGATAAAGTGGAGAGTTGCAGTTTATGTCATCGCACTTAAGTTGTTCTGGTGCAGGTACTGTCCATTTGGGGCCCATGCGATGTCTGCCATCACAATGCTCGGACAGCAGAACGGAGTGACAGTCTCAGACGAGGACAAGGAGGCGCTCAAGGAAGCAATCCATGTGAGCCATTCAGACTCAGGTTTGCTTGCGAAGGATCATTCTACAATCATCTGTACTCCTTTTGCACCGCAGCGTTTAGAGTAATATGGAAGCAGTATGTCGAGGTCAACGTCTATTGAAACACTGGAATGACAAAAGGCCTCCCAGCCCTTTGCCTTAAAACCAGCCCGCTAACCCAAACACTGTGTTACTAGCCTCGAACACCGCTGCTTCTCAAGTCCACTTTCCAAGTCGCGTTGGAAACTGTAAAAATGCCAATCGTTTTTATGTAAATATTCTATTACGTGGTAGTAACTACTAAATTTCTACATGATTCCCAAGTCCACTTTCCAAGTAGCCAAGTCTCCCGTTGTAATCCTGATTTCTGGTTTCTTCTCCGTCCCCTGCTTTTGTGGTCCTACTTCCAGCGAGAGGCCTGCAAAGGACTCTCACTAAACCGTAAAACATGTGGAACAGGATTGTGGAACAGGTTATGCTTATCCAAATATCCTAAGCTAGGCCCCTCGTTTTCACCCGTCGTCGCTCCAGAATGGTCGGGGCTTCTCTTAGGGGCCGGGGTCCCCCTCAAATAAGACGCAATCGATATGATCTGAATTTCACATTCCAAATCCATCACTTTGTTTTCGTGTGTTTGATGTAACTGACCTTAACCCAGCCTTGTGACTCATCGATTTTTTGTTGGCTGGCCCACAGCTGCCCCTGGCCCCCCCTCCCGCTTTCCCCTGTAGTCCACAAAGTGTTGGTGCTACATCGCTGGGTGATCGGGCGACGTCAAAAAATGATATCTCCGCTTGGACCCAACGTGATGTTTTTGAGTTTGTCACAAACCCCCTGGCTTAACCCGTTTCTGGGTTGCCCTGCAGTTGGCACCCCCCCACCCTGAAGTTGATGAAGCGCTGGCGCTCCTCAAGGATGCGGGGTTCCGGCTTGCGGCGTTGACGAACAACGCGCAGAACGTGGTGGACATGCAGCTGAAAAATGCAGGGCTCACGCAGTACTTCGAGAAGATTCTCTCGGCTGACACAATAAAGGTGGGCTGATCCAGGGTCCATATTGGTGGAAACGAGTTTTCTTAGAAGACTTGTACAGTGAATTATCACGCAACGACTCTAGTGTCAGAGCTAAGATTGGCAGACCTGAAAATGGAGCCAAGGGTCGACGAGATGAATGCATGGTGGCATTCGTCGCCTCTGGACGAAAGTCGGGACCTTTTAGCGGGTGTGTGCTTCGTCGTTGGGGAAGGTTCTTCGCCTTCAATCCGAAGGACTTTGACACACACTTCAAATTCGATTCGGCGATCCAGAAGTTGCGGTCCAGAAATCTCTGGCTGTTGGCGTCCCTATCGCACAACCTTTGTCATCGGATCTGAACTCAGACCGGCCGCCTTGCTCTCGACTAAAGAAGTGCACACTTTTTTTGTGATGGAACGTTGGATAGCTGTTCCTACGGTTACTTCGAGGTCCGGCTCCGTTTGGTCTGCACTAAATCTATCGCATCCAGCTATCCACTATATACGGACAACAAAGCAGTTTTAGTCCTGTGCTCAAGGTGATTCTTGCTACGTCTTCTTTCCAGGTCTTGAAACCCGCGCCTGAGCCGTACGAGTTCGCTGCAAAAGAGATGGGCCTTTCCGGCCCGGCTGAGATGCGTATGGTTGCTGCGCACTGCTGGGACTGCGCAGGGGCGATGCGCGCCGGTGCTAAGGCCGCCTTTGTTGATAGACCGAGCGCGGCGTGGGACCCTTTGGTGGAGAGGACTGATGTCGTCGGGTCCGACCTACTAGAAGTTGCTAAGGCCATTGTAGCAAAGCGAAAAAGCACGTGACGATGTTGGGCATGTTTTTCTGACGCGCAGCACAGATAGCAAGCATGAGTCGTTCGGACAACCAGCTGTTGCATTGGTGCCGGCGCCGCTGAGCTGTTTTCCTTTTGCTTTAGTACTGCTGCTAGGCCGTTTGAATGGGCGTATGTCTCACGCCATGCAATCTATCATGCACTAGGTATGCTCAACTGAGACTCCTGATGATATCCAGAGCACCGTCACGCGTGCTGATCAATTCATGCATTACGACTGTTTGGTACTGTACAAATCGTTTACGTCGCACTTAATTTGCGGTAGCGTTGTGAGCCCTAGCAAGCTGCCAAGCGGCGTCTGCAGCGTGGTCGCCTGCAGCATGCTCTGTCGCAATATAAATGCATTACCGAAAGTTTCAATGTATCGGCCGGCCGATCCAAATACTATGATAAGGTCGCAAGATAACACTGAGCAACGGCCGGCCTGGTCGCTGGCCGCCTAGCTTGAGCGCACGCAAGTCGACACGAAGCTGTCCGACGGAGCTGCCAATGTAAATGATATATCCGGCCATAAAGAATTATGCATGCTGCAACATGTAGTATTCATTCAGGACGCACCCATGGCGGCCTGGCCGCGCGTAGCACTCCGTACTCACGCAATCGGAGTCGGAGGGCGCGTACAATCATCAATGATCCCGCGAGCCTGACAGTTAGAGTGCTGTTAATCATACTCAACGATGAGTTCAAGCCGAGTCCGTGACTCACGAGAAGATCAGTACATTATACGTGCCAGCCGCCAAGGGCCGCACATGAATAAATGGATCGGATGTGGAACAACATTGACATTGGAACGCTCCAACAGGCGCCTCAGACTGCGATGCTTCTAGCTATGCGTGACCGTTTCTGTACATGGTCCGCGGATCAATGTTCGCTGACGATCCTAACTTCAAAAGTCTACCGTTGCTGCTGAATAAAGACCTGGTCGGACGATTCCCTTTCTCATGTCAATCTGAACCTCCCTCATTGACTACAACTCCGTTGCGTATGATAATTGAGCCGGAGCATCCATGGCTACGTCCAATACCCCCGTACTCGTTCCTACCGCCCGGTTAGCGAGGTAGGCCAGTAACCCTTCTGTAGTTAAGTTCAGGGTTTGCTGGATCTGGGAGGCTTTGTCGGCTTCAGTCCTGAATTGGGTTAGCAGCGCTTGGCCCTGGTAGTTAGCCTGTGCTTGAATGACGTTCCCCTGGGTCTGGGCGATTTGGATGGTGATGGTCGCGTTCTGGTTTGCAAGCATCAGCTCGCCGTTTGCCTGCAAAGTTGGGGAGCAAAAATGAGACTCAGAACTTCTTTGGCCTCTTCTCGCTTCGCCTCACTTTCCCTCAAAGTACGCAGGCAGAAGTGGGATTTGATCGGTTCCCTCCTTCGATAAGATCGAAACAGTCCAAGACATAACCTGATGACTCCACTTAAGGTGCCCATCAAAACCAGAGGTCTCGTTGATCTGAACCCTAACAACGTCCTGATTGGACTTCTTTGCTTCTTAATTGGTCGAAGTTCCTGACATCTGAGGATCAAATCGACTCCTTCCTACCACGTACCGAGCAACTATCAAAACCAACGACTATTACATGAATGTCAAAAGGCGAAGAAAAGCAAGCGTTTATACCCTGGAGATGGCCTGATCCCGCTCCTGTGACGCGAGCGTGATGTCATAGCTGGCCTGCTCTTTCAGCGACACCGCGGTAGACCACGCGAGCGGGTACGTCACGTTGCGCAACTGAACGTCTAGGATGATGGCACGTAGCGGCCGCACGTTTGCCTGTAGCCGGTCTCGGGTGGTGTTCTGGACAACCAAGCGCTCCGCCTGGAAATCGCCCACCTAAAAGCAGGGCAAAAGTAATCATTGTTGGCTTTGATCTTCTCTCGAGTAGGCTCTCACTGCCTCGGATGAAGGCGGGCGAAACAGATTGTGGTGATTGTGAACCTACGGTTCAAACTTCCAAAGCCGAGCAAAGGCCAAACGTGTTCGGCAGCGGGACCTCAAATGCTCCCTTATTGCTGCCGCTAGTTGCAACTGATTTCGAAGGGCATCAAGTATGGACCAACAACTTGAAGTCGGCCAGGAATTTGAATATTTCGAAAAGTCAACTTGCAGCGTGTTCCGGACCTGTTCCGGGCTTGTAAAAAGAACCATCGGATCTGGGCCCCAATAACATTCAGACACTGTCTCGGTGAACATTTAAGGAATAGAAAAACCGGTCAAAGCAGCCAAGTAGCTCCTTAAGAGGGGTGAAAGAAAGACGTCCTCTCCTAGAACCGCGAGCACGGCTAGTAAGAGCTGGGGCGCGCGAGTCTTCTCGAGTCCTGGTGAAAGACAATCGTCCTCTAGCTGTTTGGAGACCTTGTCTTTGTGTACGAATTGGTATTGAAGATTCAGAGCCCTAGAATAACGACTGCAGTTTTACCTACCTGGAACTGCGAGCACGCCCAGTGACAGCTGGCAGCCGCCGCGCTGTCGAGCACCAGAAGGTACTTGCCGTAGTCGTGGTATTGAAGGGCGACCAATTTGAGGTCGGTGGAGTTGACCAGAAACTGGTACGTGATGCCCAGGAAGATGGGGAGGCCGTCGTTGGACACGCACCGGACGCCCGAGTTGCGGGACTGATACACGGACGGGAACTGCAAGGAGGACCCGACAAAAGTTTATGGGCGGTTGGGTTCACTGTGTTCGGAGCACTTCTCATAAGATGAAGTTAAGTAGGGTTAACTTTCATGGAAAAGCGATAGAAGGTCAAGCGTATGGAAGTTAGAGGAAACGGACACAGAAGAATACTGCAGAGATGAGAGGCACATGTGGGTTTCAACAAGATAAAGTCCATTGACGGCATTTTGATGGCATGAAAGGATGCTGGCAGGGAAGGAAGGGAAAAGGTGATCGAATTGAAAGGACTAGCCTGAGGATGAGGGCCCCTTAAGCAAGCTGCTTGCTGTGGAGGATGCGCGTGGTCACAAGCTTCTTTTGCAACACACTTGGCCAATTGAGACTTAGGCTCTACGCTTAGCAGCGCCAGGTTGACACAAGGCTGCCGCAGCATCCCGGACGGAAACGGCTTGGCAGATGCCAGGCCCCCATGTGGCCCAGTGAAAATGTGTGCAGATTGCCACAAGAGTATGCGTGTTTGGCAAGCAACAAGAAGATCTTCAGCTCGAGCAATCTCTCCTTTGCTTTTCTATATGTACCTCTTCGCACTCCTGAACTCACCTTCACGAACTTGAATCCAGGCGGGCCGAAGTGGAGTCCCGGCCCCGTGATGCTCCCTGCTAAGCTCTTGGCGACCCTGTTGTATCGCAGCCCCACTTCCGTGGAGCTGATCTTTTTGAACGACAGGAGCAGCAGCACAATGCCGGTGATGATGACAGCTAGAGCGGAGCAGCAGCCGCACGTGCCGCGGTGCGTTCTGGGGAGCAAGCGCACCATGTTGTGACGCCACGTAATTGATGCGGTTAAATCACGGATGTGTATGTACTGGGAGAGAAGAAGGTACTGCAGAAGGAATTGACCAGCCTGTGAAGCTGGCAAGCGAGGATTCTCTTTGCAACCAGGTAGCAATGGAGCAGAAAGGATGGCTCACACTTATCGCCCTCTTCAATCTCTGATTGGGACGTTGGCTCAGCTAGCTGTACTTTGAGTTCTAGCTAGCTAGCCTCTGCGAGACTAGATCTCAGATGCGCCCAAGCTTGGCATGGGCATCGGTATGCCCGAGCTTCGCCCGTTCAGCGAGTGAGGGATTGCACACCACTGGTTAAGGCTTGTCATGAATAGTCCACCCCTGAGTGTGCCATTGATGTGATCACGTATACCGGTACTAGGTTTTAAGGGGATTGCTCATGAACTGCACCCAAGTAGATTGGGGAGCATCTACCGGTAGGGTGCTCATAATTCTGGTGTGGCAACTTTGGCCTGAGGCTGCAGTACGACCGGTATATACTGATACAGGACCGATACAACCTCTCGGTGAAGTCACGTCACAGCCTGCGCGGCCAAGCTAGCCCCAAACAGCTTGTCGGAGCTTCTAACGTTACCCTGAGGGATCACCCAGCATACTGGCCGGTACTGCAGAGGAAACCTGCACAGTTTATTATCGTTTATATCCAATCATCTGACACATCGACGGTAGAGATACGGCCACTGTGGCAATCCTCTGAAGAGCAGGTGCCGACAGTTGAGTTGGCGTTCCAGCACTCGTTTGGGGGATTGCCTACTCGTTCCGGCCCGCACCCAAATTCCGCGATTTCTGATTCTTGCCGCGGAATGCGAGCAGGCCGGCTCAGATAATGACGTTCCCACTCTCGTTCCGGCGGATCCCTTCCGGCCATAAGGGCGATTGCCTGCATGCAGCAGGTAAACTTACCGGCCGTCAAACTACGTGCTGTAGTAAGCTGTAGGGCATTCTCTGCGCAGAAAACATGAATGAAGACAGCGCTAATAATTAGTCAAAAAGTTCAGCCTTCAATCCCCAAACCTAAAGCGCATGGTAGGATATATGTTGCAAGATGTGTGGGGATTCATTGTGAAGCCCTCATCAGTGGTTGCTCAACTCGCTCCCACAGTAGAACACCCTGATTGAGCTCGAGCCTTCAAGCGAAAGATAACAAAGAGCCATAGCTTCTTCCAAATCTTCTGACGCCTTGGTCTGTGAAACCACTACCACTAAATGGCGGCCCCGGCAGCAGCTGGAACTGGTCGCAATGCTCAAGGTACTCATGGTGAGCTTTGGCCTCATTTAATTAGTTTCTTTGCTGGAGCCTGAGGTGAATGTCTGGCCGGACACCAGTGAAATGCAACTTGTTGAGCTGGAATAAGAATCAGTCCATGAGCCTGAGGAGGGGAAAGGTAGGCTTCAGATTGAGATTCAGCATCGATCGCATACTATGTCATCAGATTCGGAGCTTACCCAAAGTAGTGACGCTGAATGTCACTTGGAGCTTCCAACCTATAACCAGTGTTTCCCATTGCAGTAGTTCAAGATAAGGAAGGCGCTTCAATTCCCCGACATTCATATGCATCTCACGACCTGGATCACAACTTAGTCACAGTACCATTCTGTTGCAGATATTGAGTCTGGCTTTACTTCCAAGATGTCCGAGGGTACCAAAGTGTGCTTAAGCAGCGTGAGACAAGCTTTCTCCTTCATTTTCTTGTATCAGCAGCTTGGCATCAGCAGCTTCACTGGTGCATCCTGATGCGTCTCTTCGATTTCGCCAACTTCTAAACAGCACTCTGTAGGAATTTCTTCGAAGGTAGGCCAAGTGGTTGACAGGACTGCCACAAAAAGACAGCTTTGCTTTGTGTGGGTAGAAGGTCTTCCTTTGTTTGCATCTGAAACATGCAATATTATTCAAGATGGTACAAGTTCAAGAATCCTGCAAAACCTTGATTGTGACCTTGATTGCAGCTTCTATGCAGTGAACGTTTTCTTAAGAGATCAATGATGCTTTAAGCAGATGCTTCCGATTTCTTTCTTTCAGTTCAAGACCATGAGCAGTTTCAATGAATTCAGCCACTCAACCAGGGCTTCCCTTTTGAGGTCCTTGAGAAAACGTCCCATCTGATTGCACACCTCAGCGTCAAATCTTGCTTGTCCCACTTAAGAGCTCAAACTGCGTTTCATTTTCCTGAACTTTGCTCAGTCCACTCAACATCAAGCTTTTGAAGGTTCGTTTGAAGATCTTTCTTTCTGCATCCTTCGACTTGCAGGCTCCCTAAATCTGGCATGCTTCCCTTCTGCTTGCAGGCGGGGATATGCACTTTCCTAATTGGCTGCTTCCTGATGATCATCCTGCTCCCACTAAGCTTCGTCACACTAGACTACACAGAGTATGGCCTGGCTCAGAGGCGCTCCAGCGGCAAAGTCTACCTGGATAAAGGCGTCTACTACGGCGGGTAAGAAACGAAATTTTGAAACTTCGGCATCTGATTTGATTCAGGAAGTGAAGGCTCTTGATTCCGTAGATGGGAAGAGGTTCATGTTTCGATTCAGCTGTACCAGATTCTCTATGCTTTTACTTTCTCAATCAAAACCGGCCTTGCTACGGAGGGACTCGAACTCGCGAGGATTCCTGCAGTAAAACTAATAAGCTCGTGACAATGAGTCAATGACGCCCGGACAACCGTTCCTGTGTACATCACCTCGCTTGTGCTCCTGCTTATTCCCAGCTCACAAAGCTCGGCTTGAGAAGATCAATTTCGCAGTCATGTAAAATTACCCTGTGCGGAATTCCCCAGACGAATTCGTCGCTGTCAGCTGGCTTGTCCTCGATTGTCGAATATGTCTGATTGCAACAAATCTTAAGAGCAGCCGTAGTATATGTGCAACCAAGGTTTGCGCAACAAGTTAGCCTTCTCCAATTTCGTTCACAATGACGGCTCTTACTCTCCTCTGTTCCTGCTGTCCACAGCACTTGGCAACTTTTACTCTTGGCTCATGCTACTGGCTTCTCAGAAGATTCGTCCATGTTTTTGCAGGCGCCACTTCCTGGGACCGGACTTTGTTTTCCGACGCTTCCCCGCGGACGCTCAGTTTGTCCAGCTGGTTCAGATTGACGCCGTGTCTGCAGACAAGCTCGACACCATCATCGATGTCGAGTTTGCTTACTTTCTCGTCAGAGACGAGATAATCGCGCTCAAACTGGAGTTAGACCAAAGTTACGACCAGGTTATCAGTAACACGGCCTTGGCTGCGATCAAAAACACAGCCGTTACATTTAACACCGCCGATTACTTTCTGAACCGAACCCTGATTGAGGCCAGCTTCTATGCCGCAGTTACCAGCTCGGTTAGGCAGTACCACGCAGTCGTCCCGTACATATTCCTCTCTGCGGTTACAATACCCAGTCAGGTTAGCGGAAAGCAGTTAGCGACCGCCATCCAATTACAGAACAACGCGCAGCAGATTTATACCAGTCAGGCGGCTGTCATCCGAGCAACGACTAATCAACTCGTTAACCAAATCGAGAATAACGCGACGCTCTTGATTCAGACAGCGTCGGCGCAGGCTGCACAGGTTGTGCAGAACGCGCACACGAACGCGACGAACACCGTTCAGGAGGCGAGGCGGTCTGGTTTGGCGTACTACTACTCGACGGTTAACATAACCCTGCCGAAGCACAAGGCGTCGCTGGACTACATTACCACGCTGCAACAGGCGGGACAGGCGGCGCTACACATTGGTTACCAAACGAGGTTCATAAGCACAGGAGGTTCCGCGCCAGTTCCCTAGATTTACGGCTGGCTTGCCAGTGCTTGGTCTGTAAGTATCGGTGTTAGCTGAAAGTCAGTTAGGATAGGCTTGAGGACGCCAATCAGAGCAACAGTTAGATGCTCAGCCGTACAATTAGACTAGAGTGGGCCCATTGAGAACTCAATTCGAGACGTCATCTTGTATACAACTCAAAGTAGGTTTCAAAGTGGAATGACCATCTTTCAGTGATGTGTACAGGACGACAGTGTCTCAGGCTTTGTTCACTTGGCAGGTCGAACTTCGTGTAATATATTGTCAGAGCACGCATGGATACAGACTGTTACGAGCCTCTCACGTCATGCTTCGCGCTAACGTTGTGAGGCGGCCCTAGCTACGTCTGCAGCATTCGGATGCAATGATGCAAGTATCATTGTGGTAGTTAGGCAAACATGGATTGTCAAAGGTCTTCTCATTCAGTGCCGTGTCATGCATCATATCCGCACGCCGGTCCAACAGGACAATATCAAGCGATGCTGTTGATGGTCGATTGGAAGAACCAGGTCAACCAAGTATGCGTTATATAAGCGCGATCTTGATCGCGCCGGATTCAATCCAGTGAAGTGCCATGAGCGGACCGTTATTTTGGACACCGACCACGGCTGCCCTTAGCTACACGTGTTCAACGAGCGAGGAAAGCATGCAGATCGTCCACCGCTACACGTTATGCACCTCATACTCTGGGCGTCAAGCCGAATGACTACATGGGGTTCAGCACGGGACGAGCAAATGGACAACCTTGATTGGAAGCGACAAACCGATAGGCCGCTTAAACGACTCTGCTTTCGACCGTTTCGTTTCAGTACATGGTCAGTAGAGCACCTTTGCTATTGGTGCTAGTGACCTTCGAGTGACCATTCGCTGATTGACGAGCTCGTCGTGCAAAAGCTTGGTTGTACATTTTTCCATCAAAGTAACCATTTGGTCTGATTCAACTCTGTCTATCTTAGTCTCTCTGTTTGTCATCCTGAACTACAACTCTGTTGAGTAGGAAATTTGAGCGGGGGCATCCATAGCCACGTCCAATTTCCCCGCACTAGTTCCGACCGCCCGGTTAGCTAGGTAGGCCAATAACCCTTCCGTGGTTAAGTTCAGAGTTTGCTGGATCTGGGCGGCCTTGTCGGCTTCGGTTTTGAACTGGGTTAGCAGCGCTTGGCCCTGATAGTCAGCCTGCGCCTGCATAACGTTCGCTTGGGTCTGGGCGATCTGGATGGTTATGGTCGCGTTCTGGTTCGCAAGCAGGAGGTCGCCGTTTGCCTGCGAAAGATTGCGAGCGGAGAATGAGACGAAGCAGAGAAAGTCGAAGGAGACTCCAACTCGCCTCCTTTTGATACTCCGGCTTAGTCGAAGACAAATATGACGTCCGACAAAAAGTTACTAGTAGCATTGAGCTCAGAGGCCCCTCTTGCATCAACTCAAGCGCTAGCCCTGTGAAGCACTCTCGGCGAGCCCTTGATCAGGATTTCTCAAGCACCTTGCTATTCAAAACTCGTGAGCACACAACCAAGTCTTTCCTGCCACGTAAGCAACGGTTGAATTTGAACAAACCAAAAGCGGACCAAGGTAAGGGTTTGCACCTTGGAAATGGCCTGCTGCCGCTCCTGTGACGCGAGCGTGATGTCATAGCTGGCCTGCTCCTTAAGCGCCACCGCGTTCGACCAGTCGGGCGGGTACGTCACGTTGCGCAATTGAACGTCGAGGATGATGGCATGGAGCGGCTGCACGTTGAACTGCAGCCGATCGTGGGTGGTGTTCTGAACGACTGCCCGCAGCGCCTGGAAGTCGCCAATCTGCAGATAGAACAGGAAGAGCGTTCTTAGAGAGTATATTCCCCCTATTTGTAAAAAAAGGCCTTTTTCAGAGCTGTCGAAATATCGTTTGGTCAGCGGAGAGACATAATGAGCATAAAAGATTTGTCGCCAGAGGTATCGTTGTGAGTCTGCTTTCGGTAGACTTGAAAATGCAAAAACATAAAATGAGACAGAATTCAAGTACGTTTCTTTGCACATTCTGAAAAAAAAGGTCCAGGTGTTATGAAAGTCAGCTTTCAAGGAAGCCTCGTATCCGAGGCTAAAGTTAAGTCCCAGTCATCTGAGGAAAGTCTCAATGGTCATCAACAAAATCACCAACCTGGTACTGCGAGCTCACGCACTGACAGCTAGCCTCCGCATTTCGATAAAAGAAAGTTCTCCCGTTTAATTTCTTCTTTCGGGAAAGATGAATAAGACCAAACTTAACTGAGATTGCGAGCACGCCCAGTGACGGCTGGCTCGTTTGACTCGTTTGGCTCGTGCGACTCTACTAGAATCCTGAAGACAAACGTCCCCCAGCAGACATGACTCTCAGCTTTTGTTGGAAGAAATGCAGAAATAGTCCCCGAGGAACTCTAATGCTTGAGGTTCATCTTACCTGTGAGCACGCCCAGTGACAGCTGGCCTCCGCACTCAATCCACTCTGGAAAGGATACTTCTCGGCTTATCGCCCGTCTCTTTTGATTAGAAAAGAGACGGGAACGAATGTACCTGGAACTGCGAGCACGCCGAGTGACAGCTGGCCTCCGCACCAGAGTCCCAGCTAAATGCAATCGTGCTCCTTACCTCTCTGGTTAGAAAAGCAATGAGAACAAACGTACCTGAAACTGCGAGCACGCCCAGTGACAGCTGGCCTCCGCCGCGCTGTCGAGCACCAGGAGGTACTTGCCGTAGTCGTGGTACTGGAGGGCGACCGTGTGCAGGTCGGTGGAGTTGACCAGAAACTGATACGTGATGCCCAGGCCGAGCTGCAGGCCGTCGTTGGACACGCAGCGGACGTACGTGTTGCGGGACTGGTACACGGACGGGAACTGCGGACAGGAAGAGAGGGATTTTGTGACATAAAGAAGAGTATGAAGTGGGGGAAGCTTTCATACAGCCCAGTAAGACTGGCACCTGTTGAACGAAGTCAAACAAGTCAGAAAATGGGAACGTTGCTGAAGAACCTTTCCTGAGTAAAGCGCCTTCTGGGTTTATGGTTCTCCGTAGTTCGCCCAGAAGATATGAAGAATCCTGAAATCATAAAGCTTCCAAAGCTGAGACATT